AAACTTTCGAGGACGTCTAGACGCAGGTCAGCCATTACTCAAACACACACATGCATGTTTGTTTTTGTGAGTTGTGGGGACATTCCATAGGTTTTCTACTGTACAGACTGTATTGTGCATCTCCAACACAGGAGATATCTTTTAATATCTTTTACAGTAGTTATTGTTTTAAAGCAGATCTACAAAAGGTGCACATTACTGCATTACAATCAAATTAAGTTAGTTACACTCAAATATATGTTATTATTCATCTTTCTTGGCTCGAGACGTCCGCTCTCATTTACTTCCATTCATTTTGAGATGTTAAATACGGCCGGTTCTGCTGCATGATGCTGCTAACGGATCTGTTCTTATGATATTACTCTAGTTTGTCTGTGTAGTCGTGAACACACGTGTTTGTAGAGCGAGCAGTTTATTATTCCTGGTCATTTCTCTCATAGGCAGCTGAATCGGAAGTTCTGAACCAATCGCAAAATCGAGCGCACACTGAAGAATAAGGCCACTAGATCAGCTCGATGATGTGTGTGAATATGAACACCCATAACCTGACTGTCCATGGTGTTTTCTGTGGTGGTTCAGGTCAATGTTCTGCTGGAGAAGCTTCCAGAAACACACATCGGAGCTCCAGCGCTGCAGAGGAGCATCAGTGCAGAGCAATGGGTGAGAGTGCGTCTGAGCTCCATCAGCTGTGTGTGTGTGTGTGTAAAGTGTGTGTGTAAAGTGTGTGTGTGTGTGTTCAGGAGGAGCTGGAGAAGATCAACAGCACTCTGTCGGCGGAGTACGAGTGCCGGCGGCGGATGCTCATCAAACGCCTCGACGTCACTGTGCAGTCCTTCAGCTGGTCGGACAGAGCCAAGGTGACCACACACACACACACACACACACACACACACACACACACACACACACACTATATTTAAATCTTATGCTGTTTGTAACATTCCTGTATTGTGTTATTGACTATTGCAGTGTGAGTTTTGGCTATTTTTGACCGCTCATCAGAACGCTCTGATTTAATGTAGAAGTTACCACCCACTGCTCTGATTGGCTCACTGTTTGTCATATCAACATTGCTAAACAGACTGTGCACCAGCAGCAGGCATCAGTCTTCTGTGGAGGCGTCCGGCGGGAGAACTTTAGGCTTAGTTGAGCTTATGCTCACTGGCCGCTTTATTAGGTACACCTGTCCAACTGCTGGTTAACGCAAATGTCTAATCAGCCAATCACATGGCAGCAGCTCACTGCATTTAGGCATGTAGACATGATCTGCTGCGGTTCGAGCATCAGAATGGGGAGGAAAGGGGATTTAAGAGACTTTGAACATGGCATGGTTGTTGCTGCCAGACGGGCTGCTCTGAGTATTTCAGAAACTGCTGATCTACTGGGGTTTTCACGCACAACCATCTCTAGGGTTTACAGAGAATGCTCCGACAAAAAGGAAATATCCAGTGAGCGGCAGTTCTGTGGGCGCAAATGCCTTGTTGATGAGGTCAGAGGTCAGAGGAGAATGGCCAGACTGGTTCCAGCTAATAGAAAGGCAACAGTAACTCAAATAAGCACTCGCTACAACCGAGCTCTGCAGAAGAGCATCTCTGAACACACAACACGGCCAACCTTGAGGCGGATGGGCTACAGCAGCAGAAGAGCACACCGGGTGCCGCTCCTGTCAGCTAAGAACATGAAACTGAGGCTACAATTCACACAGACTCACCAAAACTGGACAATAGAAGATTGGAGAAACGTTGCTGCTCTGATGAGTCTCCATTTCTGCTGACACATTCGGATGCTCGGGGCAGAATTTGGCCTCAACAACATGAAAGCATGGATCATCCTGCCTTGTATCAGCGGTTCAGGCTGGTGGTGGTGGTGTAATGGTGTGGGGGAGATTTTCTTTGGGTCCATTAGTACCAATTGAGCATCAACGCCACAGCCTACCTGAGTATTGCTGCTGACCATGTCCATCCCTTTATGAGCACAGTGTCTCCATCTTCTGGTAGTTAAGAGACTAAGCTGAAGGGAAGTGAGCGAGTTGTGGAGGACTCGCACCTCATCAGCAGCTGTGCATTGATTTGTTTGTTGTTTTCAGGTGAAGATTGATCAGATGGCGCGGGCGTATCAGCCCAAGAGACACTCTCTGTCCGTCAGGTCGAGCGTAAGTTTGGCTCATCTGCTGGCGGCGCGGAGAGACATCTGCAATATGGTGAAGACCAGCAGCGGATCCAGCCGCCAGAACACCAGCTGCGCCGTCAACAGGGTGCGTACCACATACACACACACACTACAGAATACACAACACACGTCACTCGTATTGTTTTGAATGGGGGAAAGTGTAACGGGCAATATGGTGAATAAAGCCCCACCTACTAGTACAGGAGCCAATCAGTGATCACTATAGACTGAGATGTTAATTAATTGCCTCCAGATCCTGTCATCTTCAAACACCGCGTGTTCATTACGCGTCTGCATTGTCTTCTGAAGCTCAAGTCATTTAGTAAATAAAGATCCTACCACAGCAAACACAGTGTTTACTGTTGATATTTGGCGCCAGATAAACAGGAAGTGATGATTTTGTTCTTGTTGATAGAAACGCTGCTTTATTCGCACGTCTCATATATTTTATTGATGTGCACTCATTTTATTCGCATTATTGGATGGAGACATAGCTGCTGTCTCTGCTGTTGGTGTTCAGATCTTGATGGGTCGAGTTCCTGACCGCGGCGGGCGTCCGTCCGAGATCCAGGCTCCTGCACCGGAGATGCCCACCTGGAGGAAGAGATCTGATGGAGGAGGAGGACAAGGGGCGGGATATAGAGGAGGAGGAGGGGGATGGCAGACTGGTGGAGGAGATGGCTGGAGGACAGGAAGATGGAGTCGAGGAGGAGGACGAGGAGGTGGACACTACTATCACTGACTGATGAACAGCAGAGACACTGGAGGACACTCTTTTTAAACGAGCGTGTGATTGATTCCTTTAGCTATTGAACTTGTACATGATTAGACTAGATCATGGAGACGATGAAGAATAAAGACAGGAAACACCACTAGTGAATACATATTTGAGCTGAGTTCACACAAATCACGACAAATGCATGAAATCAGAGGCAATAGCTGATTCAAGCGAGCGACAGTAGCATGGTGTGAATTGTTAAAGAGAGAATGGCCTGTGAGATATTTGGCTCGCTGAATATGTGGAGCTGTGGGAGATTCACAGTCCTGCTGTGTGAAAACAGGGTAAATGCAGGAATCAGTGAAATTCAATACCTGTTAAGACCTTTTAAGACACTTTCCATTTATTTTAAGACCTCATCGCCACTTTAGGTTTCAACCAGTAATATTAGGGACAACTTACAGTAAAGTAGGTGGCGCCTAAAGAAAAGCAGGAATAACAGTGTTGTCTTCCTAGTTATTACCAGGGGCGTCGCTAGACCTAATTAAATGGCGCACGAGCCAAAAAATAGAAAAAAATAATCATAAATAAAAAGAAAATTATATATATATATATATATATATATATATATATATATATATATATATATATATATATACATATATATATATATATATAATTAAAAGAAAAAATATATAAATAAATAAAAAAAAAATATATATATAAATAATATATATATATATATTAATATAAATAAAATATTTATATATGTAAATAAAATAAAAATTATATATATATATATATATATATATATATATATATATATATATATATATATATATGTGTATATAATAAAAAGAATATATATATATATATATATATATATATATATGTATATATATAATTAAGAAATAATATATAAATAAAAAAAATATATATCAATAAAAAATATATTTATATAAATAAAAGAAAAAAAATATGTAAATAAAAAAATATATAAATAAAAGAAAAAATTTATTAATAAAATATATATATAAATAATATATATATATATGTAAATAAAATAAAAATTATATTTATATATATATATAATTAAAACAAAAAATATATAAATAAAAAAAATATATATATATATATATATATATATATGAATAAAAATATATTTATATAAATACAAGAAAAAAATATGTAAATAAAAAAAATATATAAATATATACACACACACACATATATATATATATATATATACACACACACACACACACACACACACATATACATGCTTTTTTTAAGGGGGCGTGCCCCAATAGAGCTTTATGTCTAGCAACGCCCCTGGTTATTACAGTAAATAAAGTAAAAGGATGTCAAATCCAGCAGGATTTTAGCCTAAATTTGTCTACAAAAGATATATTCTGTACTTTTCCTACTTTTTTTGAGGTTTTTTTTTTCTTCACTCTCCTATTGGTGAAGTTTTTTTTCCCTCTCTGCTGTCGCCTCTGGCTTGCATGATTCAGGATCTGAAAAGCTAATCATCGATGAATTTGCTCTTCAGTGTTTGGACTCTCAATAAAGACTTCAAACCACACTGAACTGAGCTAAACTGAACTTAAACACTAAACCTGAACTACCCTGATCCAGTTACTATGACCATTTGTGTGAAGCTGCTTTGACACAATCTACATTGTAAAAGCGCTATACAAATAAAGCTGAATTGAATTTTCCGGGACCGATCATGTTCTCAATCTTATCGTTAAGGTTTTTTAATTACATTGCACATTTTTACACAAAAATGAGTTCCTAGAGACAATACCTAGACTTAATATTCTCATTAATTGTTGAATCTCTTAAATTTATTAAGAATAATAGAACAAAACAAGCTTATCATAGTCTTTTTCTTAGTGATTGAGGCTTTGTAAAGATATTTTTCAAAAGAAAATTGACAGAACTGGACTGATATGATCCCGGTGCTGCGTTTAGGACCAGCTGGAGTTCATTTATTAGTGTTTATTTACTGCAGGGTTGAACTGATTGTTCAGTTAGCAAAACCAACAGCAGCACATTCACTTATTTACTCAGGTGCATTCAATATAATATCCAATAATCCAAACAAACCAAGTGTATAATTATGATTTATTAATTAGGAACACTGTCAATTATACACGCCGTGTCAGATTTCCTCACATGGTAGATTGTAATAAACACACATACACTGAAAATTCTGAATACACAACAAAATACTGATCTGACCAAAACTGAATTTCTTTGTGCGATTTACAATACAAAGGCAGTTAAAATAATAAAGAAGACGAGTGCTAGCGTGGTCATATATCCGCTGAGCTGAGCTGAAGTTTGACCAGCAGGCTGAGATGATCAGAGGGGAAGCTTTCATCGGGTAAACCTCGCAGAGACCAGAGATGAGCTTCAGACAGCAGAGACAGACGAGCCAGCAGTTTCAGACCACCAGCGCTCTCTGAAAAACACAAGCACACTCGTCAGACAATAAATACAGAACTATGTGCAACATACTTTAAAAATACAACCAATAAATACAGCAGAGTCACAGAACACACTGGACACACACTCTTAATGTAATGTTAGCTGCAAAATGCTAATCTTAAATTCATGCTAACAAACAAATGGCCAAAAAATATACAATAATGCAAATTAAATACATTAAATATGAATTGATGTACATTTTAAACTTCAAAGCTCAATTTAAATTATTATTTTTTAGTTTTGTTAGATTTTTCTAGTCACCCACCATCATTCTGTGGCCCAAAAGTATCAGTTCAGGCACCGGTACCGGTACCAAGTATCGATTTAGAACCACTATCCAGGATACCCAACCCTACATGTGCTATAGGTGACTTAGATGAACTAAAATGGCCATATGGTATGAGTGTGTGTGGGTGTTTCCCAGTACTGGGTTGCAGCTGGAAGGGCATCAGCTGCGTGAAACTATGCAGGAATAGTTGGCGGTTCAAACCTCTGATAAATAATGGACTAAAGCTGAATGAATGATGTTACCTCCGCCTCCGTTGAAGCCGCTCTTCTGCCGTTGGGAGTAGAAGATGTAGTCGACCATGGCAGCTCCTTCAGAGTTCAGTGTCGTGACCAGGTCAGTCAGAGTTTCGGGATGAATATGACTGTAAGCAGACGTCAGACTCAACCTGTGACGTAAAGAAGGACTGAACCTGCCAAAATACAGTCAGAGTTTAGCATTTGAGTTGCCCCAATACAATTATTTACAATAAATGTGCAGAAGAGTAGAAAATTATAAAGACTTTAACCTGTAATACCTTTAACCTTTATGTACAGCTGATTTCAGCATGAACCCAAATATTAAAATACAATTAAGATATTAATTATATAAAAGTATTTTTGGTTTACTTTTTGTCTTTACGTTTATGCTAAAGATGGAGATGATGAGTTTTGTTTTCACCAGTTTACCACTAAATATCTCCACTCACTTGCACAAAAGTTTGCATTATGTTAACATTAAGCTGGATTTTTCAGCAGGGTTGACGTCAAACTAAGAAAGACAAAACCAGAACATGAACATAAAAAGTGTTGATGCCCAAAGTTTTTGCTTTCCCATTACAAAAAGCATTTGCTCACAAAATATTTGTAATTTAGTGTTTGCCAGAGGATCTTTCAGAGTAACTCAGCTCATTATAGCACACGTGCTGCTGCTGCTGCTGATGATGATGATGATGTGATTATAAAAGTGATTTGATTTCAACTTTGCATTGATTTGCAAAACATTTGTGCTACCTGGATGAACTTCACATTTGCAGAAAAAGAATAACTTTGAGGGAAAATAAATAAATAAATGAAACTCACCTTAGACTAAACATGTCTCTTAGGTCTGAAAAAAATAGAGCATAAAAATCAGAGCATATTCCAGGACGTGTCTTCAACAATGACCCTAATAAGTGTGAAGATCGAAATAACAACTTCCTTAATAGCTCTTTAAGATCTAGAGTAATCGCTAGTTAAATGTAATAATCTGTGACTTTTGCTCAAACGTGACTTTTTATCGTCTTATTTGTCAGAAAGCGTGCAGTTCTGTGTTAATGCTTGAATGTTTAGTAGCATGTCGAGCAGGTCCATCGCAAGCTGCAGGGCCTAAATGAAGACTGGGACACAGTGGGGGTGATATCTGGGTGACTGTTGTCAGTGAAGAAAGTGTGTGTGTGTGTGTGTGTGTGTGTGTGTGTGTGTGTGTGTGTGTGTGTGTGTGTGTGTGTGTGTGTGTTTGTTGGGGGGGGGACACATTGTCCATGCCTAAATCTGCCAATCAAATCTGTTTATGATCACTTTTAATTCATATCACACATTAAAGTGAATTTTATATGCAGTCATAGTGTACACAACAATCTCTGGGCTTGCTGCATCACAAATACCAACATTTTTACAATTTATGAAAAAAGTAATGACTTTCTGGCCGTGTGATATTAGGCATGAACATATATATTGCCATTTGTGACTTTCGAAAGTATTAAATCGCTTTGTAAACGTTTATTATTACCTTTTCAAGAGTCTCCCCATACATTTGAATAGAGCGATTGGACCCGGAAGCCGCTCTGCGTGACGTCACACTTAACAAGCGGATCTAATCCGTGCCCGGGTGCATTTCCTAGTTCGTTTGACAAGTCTGACTGCTCTGAATTGGGCCCAGGCGTGGTTCAGTTGGAAGAGGTGTGCTAGAGAGTGTTTGGTTGGGGTTAGTGTGAGTGTAAAGCATGCCTGAGTATGAAACTGAAGATACGACGTCACTTTTAAGGGAGTGTTTCATGTGGATTTATTAATCACTCTTACTGTTCAATGACAGTGATGTCAGAGTTTATTAAAGACGCAAACCCCTCACTGCACATTCAGCAAGCCTCCTAAAACCTGCAGGACTTCATGATTGTTTATGAGCGTCAAAAGTGATGGATCTGTTCTGCAAAATATTTGACCGTGTCACTGCATCCCAAACCACTAAAAATAATACACAACGATGTAACTAAAGCAACGTCCGCTGTGCTGAGCGAAGCGCTTCTCTTCTGTTTAACTGAACAGCGTATCATCGATGACGTAGGTGTGCGCCGGCTCTGAAGGTAATAATGCAGTGTGAGTGCAGGCTGAGGGGGAGAGGGGAAGAGGGACAAGCACGCTTCGCTGGTGAGAGTACGCCCTAAGTCTAAACTAGGCGTTAGCCATTAGCTGGTGCAGAGTTGAAGCGGGTGAATCTGTTACCGGGTGTTTTGTCTGTGACTCCGGGTATGAGCTCTAGATCTGCAGGCCGAACACACGCCGCCTCACAGAAGCGCAGCTGACACATGAACTCATGACTGTACTGCTGTTTACCATCTGAAAACACACACACACACACGCACACACACACACACACACACACACACACACAAAGAAAATCAAAGACCATTTTTGACTGATTACTTAGTAATTACACTCACCGGCCACTTTATTAGGTACACCTATCAAAGTGAGCATCAGAATGGAGAAGAAAGGAGATTTAAGTGACTTTGAACGTGGCATGGTTGTTGCTGCCAGACGGGCTGCTCTGAGTATTTCAGAAACTGCTGATCTACTGGGATTTTCAAGCACAACCATCTTCAGAGAGGGGTCTGACGAAGAGGAAATATCCAGTGAGCGGCAGTTCTGTGGGCGCAAATGCCTTGTTGATGAGGCCAGAGGTCAGAGGAGAATGGCCAGACTGGTTCCAGCTGATAGAAAGGCAACAGTAACTCAAATAAGCACTCGTTACAACCGAGCTCTGCAGAAGAGCATCTCTGAACACACAACACGTCCAACCTTGAGGTGGATGGGCTACAGCAGCAGAAGAGCACACCGGGTGCCGCTCCTGTCAGCTAAGAACAGGAAACTGAGGCTACAATTCACACAGACTCACCAAAACTGGACAATAGAAGATTGGAGAAACGTTGCTGCTCTGATGAGTCTCCATTTCTGCTGACACATTCAGATGCTCGGCTCACAATTTGGCCTCAACTACATGAAAGCATGGATCATCCTGCCTTGTATCAGCGGTTCAGGCTGGTGGTGGTGGTGTAATGGTGTGGGGGAGATTTTCTTTGGGTCCATTAGTACCAATTGAGCATCAACGCCACAGCCTACCTGAGTATTGCTGCTGACCATGTCCATCCCTTTATGAGCACAGTGTCTCCATCTTCTGATGGCTACTTCCAGCAGGATAACGCAGCATGTCATAAAGCTCAATCATCTCAGACTGCTGAACATGACGATGAGTTCACTGTACTCAAATGGCCTCCACAGTCACCAGAGCTCAATCCAATAGAGCAGCTTTGGGATGTATTGGAACGGGAGGTTGGCATCATGCAGCCGACAAATCTGCAGCAACTGTGTGATGCTATCATGACAATATGGAGCAAAATCTCTGAGGAATATTTCCAGTAGCTTGTTGAATCTAGGCCATGAAGGGTTAAGGCAGTTCTGAAGGCAAAAAGAATCTAACCCGATACTAGTCAGGTGTACCTAATAAAGTGGCCGGTGAGTGTATATCTGGTACTAACCTGAAGCTGTGGTGTGTGTGTCAGTGTTGTACTGGCAGCGGTCAGTGATGCCGAGGCTGCTGGGCCACAATGGGGAGAAAAGCCTGTTGTGATGAGCTTTATATGACAAATCCGTCTGCCCTGAAACCTGCACAAACCACCAATGCATCCGCAGTGTTTTCTACAAAATTATTCAATTAAAAAAGTCCTGTGCCATTTTTATTATTCTTCAAAAAAGATGTTGATTTATTTTCTCTTCTCCATGATGACAGTAATAATATTAGACTAGATGTTCTTCAAGACACTAGTGTTCAGCTTACAGTGACATGTAAAGGCTTCACTTGGGTAATTAGGGTAAAGTTAGGGTAATTAGGCAAGTGTTTGGATAACAGTGGTTTGTTCTGGAGACAATCCAACACTAATATTGCTGAAGGGGTGAATAATATTGAGCTTAAAATTGCTTTAAAACTATTAAAAACTGCTTTTATTCTAGCCCAAATAAAACATCAGACTTTCTCCAGAAGAACAAATATTAGAGGAAACACTGTGATTTTGTTCAACATCATTTGGGAAATATTTGAAATAAATAAATAAATAAAATTCACAGGAGTGTGAATAACTCTGACTTTAACTGTGTATTGTAAATATTGTCAGTAATCGGGGTTTCTCACCATCCATGTCGGTAGGCCGTGGTAGTAGAGCTCCCCGGTGGTGATCAGCGTCCACAGAGGACTCCTGGGTACAGCATTGAAGTCTCCGCACAGAATCAGCTCGCAGCTTTTCCCTTCACTCCTGCATTTCTGCATCACGCTGTGGATCTCGGCGAACATGATGGCGAGCTGGGCCAGCTTCACGTCTCCTCTCCTGGGGTTGAACAGGAGGTGTGTGTTAGCAACACACACCGGTGTAAACTGATGATGGGGTCCCGCCGTGGGCTGGAGGAGCAGCACGATGCCTACATTATCCCGATCCAGCAGCTCACACTCCGAGCGGCGAAACTCCAGCAGACTGACGGAGAGCTGAGTGAAGCGTTCACCGCGGTATAACACAGCACAACCGTCTGTTTTTGAGCCTGTGCGACGCTTATAGATGCATGTATAACCTGGAGGAAAAACATGTGGTAAAGACAACGAAAACAATAAAGACGCATTTTATTCTTTATTTAGGTTTATTTTTATTACATTATAAAATATTGCTTTTTACATATAAAGCTTTAAATAGTCGAGCTCCTGTTAATCTAACCAACCTGCCTACAATCCAACTCGCTATTTAGGATCTCAAAACTCAGGGATTCTGCAAGTACCTAGAACAGCAAAGTCCACTAAAGGAGGTCGAGCCTTCTCATTTATGGCTCCTAAACTCTGGAATAGCCTTCCTGATATTGTCTGAGCCTCAGACACACTCTCTCATCTCAAAACTAGATTAAAGACTATTTTCTTTGACAATTTATTAAGGAAAACTTCACTTGACTATGACTCATTTCTGAAAATAAAACAATGGTTATTTTCTTGTCTAGAAAATGCATATTGTTTTCTGAATTTTTAGATATTTGGACCAGAAACAAGACAAAAACTGTAAAAAACAAAACAAAAACAAAAAACAGTAAATGTTGACTCTATGACGACTTTAATATCTTTCATTGAGAGGTAAGATGTAAACATAACGGTCTTGCACAGCCATCGAGTGCTTGTTTACATAAAAAAATAATGGAAAATTATACTGTAAAAATGCTTTGCTTAAAGCTTTAGTCTTGTTTCTAGTCCAAATATCCAAATCTTCTTACATCAAGGAGCGTTTTCAAGACAAGTAAAACAAAATAGTCTTATTTAAGTTGAGTTTTGCATTGATGATTAAATTATTGCTTCTTACATATAAAGCTTTAAATAGTCGAGCTCCTGTTAATCTAACCAACCTGCCTACAATCTAACTCGCTCTTTAGGATCTCAAAACTCAGGGATTCTGGAAGTACCTAGAACAGCAAAGTCCACTAAAGGAGGTCGAGCCTTCTCATTTATGGCTCCTAAACTATGGAATAGCCTTCCTGATATTGTCCGAGGCTCAGACACACTTTCAACTGAACACTTGATTAAAGACTATTTTCTTTGACAATTTATTAAGGAAAACTTCACTTGACTATAACTCATTTCTGAAAATAAAACAATAGTTATTTACTTGTCTAGAAAATGCATATTGTTTTCTGAATTTTTAGATATTTGGACCAGAAACAAGACAAAAACTGTAAAAAAAAAAAAAAAAAAAAAAAAAACAGTAAATGTTGACTCTATGATGACTTTATAAAGACTTTGTCTTTCATTGAGAGGTAAGATGTAATCATAACAGTCTTGCACAGTCATCGAGTGCTTGTTTACATTAAAAAAACAAAGGAAAATTACACTGTAAAAATGCTTTGCTTTAAGCTTTAGTCTTGTTTCTAGTCCAAATATCCAAAACTTTTTAAATCAAAGAGTGTTTTCAAGACAAGTAAAAAATGTTTTTGTTTTGAAAAATATTACTTGAAAATAAAGAGAGTCTTTCTTTTAAACAAGCTAAATAATTTGCAGATGGGGTAAACAAAATAGTCTTATTGAAGTTCAATTTCACACTGATGATTAAATTATTGCTTCTTACCTATAAAGCTTTAAATAATCGAGCTCCTGTTAATCTAACCAACCTTCTGTCTCGCTACAATCCAACTCGCTCTTCAGGATCTCAAAACTCAGGGATTCTGGAAGCACCTAGAACAGCAAAGTCCACTAAAGGAGGTCGAGTCTTCTCATTTATGGCTCCTAAACTCTGGAATAGCCTTCCTGATATTGTATGAGGCTCAGACACACTTTCAACTGAACACTTGATTAAAGACTATTTTCTTTGACAATTTATTAAGGAAAACTTCACTTGACTATAACTCATTTCTGAAAACAAGGCAATAGTTCTTTACTTGTCTAGAAAATGCATATTGATCTCTGAATTTTTAGATATTTGGACCAGAAACAAGACAAAAACTGTAAATTAAAAAAAAAAAAAAAACAGTAAATGTTGACTCTATGATGACTTTAACGTCTTTTATCGAGAGGCAAGATGTAAACATAACAGTCTTGCACAGCCATCGAGTGCTTGTTTACATAAAAAAATAATGGAAAATTACACTGCAAAAATGCTTTGCTTTAAGCTTTAGTCTTGTTTTTAGTCCATATATCCAAAACTTTTTAAATCAAGGAGCGTTTTCAAGACAAGTAAAACAAAATAGTCTTATTTAAGTTCAGTTTCACATTGATGATTAAATTATTGCTTCTTACCTATAAAGCTTTAAATAGTCGAGCTCCTGTTAATCTAACCGACCTGCCTACAATCTAGCTCGCTCTTTAGGATCTCAAAACTCAGGGATTCTGGAAGCACCTAGAACAGCAAAGTCCACTAAAGGAGGTCGAGCCTTCTCATTTATGGCTCCTAAACTCTGGAATAGCCTTCCTGATAATGTCTGAGCCTCAGACACACTCTCTCAGTTCAACACTAGAGTAAAGACTATTTTTAGTAAAGCCTTGATCATTGATCAGCGCAATCACATATTCTGAAAAATTGCTTTGTTTTGAGAAATAATGTGTAAAAATTAAGTGGGTTTTTAATTTAAAACAAGCTAAATAATCTGCCAACGGGGTAATCAAAATAATCTTATTTCAAAGTGAAAACATCATTATTCTGCTTATTTTTTCACCTAACTAGAAGATCATTTAGGTTGTTTAAAGGAAAAATTCACTTAATTTTGACCTATTCCTGAATACAAGACCATATTTATATTTGTCTAGAAAACGCTCCTTGATGTAAGAATATTTTGAACTATAAATAAAAGACAAATTCTAAGTAAGAACTACATTTTTTGCAGAGTAACCAGAATCTTTTCCACAGAGAAAACACATGAGTAACTGTGTATGCAACAGTTATGCCCCACAGTCACGACTGAAGCCCTTCCCACTATTGAAATGTCTCATGTTTTGTATTGTCATGATCAGAAAAAGTTATTTAATTTGGCGTCTCACCCATGTTGATCAGGACGGGATGCATCTGCTCCTGAAAGTGATCCTCCTGCACTTCCTGAAGACAAACAATCTGTGCATAACAGAAATATAAACATTAAACAGACACACTAACCGTTGGGTTTAAGAAAGAAAAACTCAAATTATCTTCTAAATAAGGAGAAAGATTTCTAAAACAGTTGATCAACCTTTTTACTCACTGCACAGTTTGACCAAAGGACTGTAGGGGTTTTATACAGATTCATTCGTTTAGCTGCACATCTGACAACGGGACGTATAAATGAATGATGTTGTACTACATCGGGTTGCCAGATCTAGAGCTACATAAATGAAGGAATGAATAAATGATTGTATTACATCCGGTTGCCAAATGTGCAGCAATATAAATAAATAAAAGAATGAATGGTTGGTTGTCTTACATCCGGTTGCCAGAAGTGCAGATAAATGAATGAATGAATGAATAATATTGTTTTCCATCAGGTTGCCAGATCTGGAGCAATATGAATGAATGAATGGTTGTCGTACATCCAGTTGACAGATGTGCAGATATATGAATGAATGAATGAATGAATGAAGGAATGAAGGAATGGTTGGTTGGTTGTCTTACATCCGGTTGCCAGATGTGCAGATATATAAGTGAAGTTTATTCATAAACTAATTTCGAGAGGATCACGTGCTTATGATTTATCACGTCCAGTCTCGCATTTGCTAATCACTAATCTTCCAATCATATGAGCCCTAAGGCACCATAAATAGTCTAAGTTTTCAGTTCACTTTATCTTCGTTTGGAAGAAACCCCCCTCCTCCCCTATTCTCCTCCTTTACCTGTAATTGGGCGGCACGGCGGTCCAGTGGTTAGCACTGTGAACCACACAGCAAGAATACTGCCGGTCCTAGTTCGATAGGACCGGTGAGTGTTTCTGTGGGGAGTTTGTATGTCCTTCCCGTGTCCGCGTGGGTTTTCCCCGGGCTCTCCGGTTTCCTCCCACCATCCAAAGACATTCAACATACTTAACAATCAAGCTGGTCTAATTCCTTACGTTCCCTTAGCTACAGCGGCAGGGGAGTTCTGAGATCCACCGAGCTCAGGCTCCCTTCTTGCTCTGCCAACGGGAGGAAGCCCCGGGCTCGAGGAGCCCTTGAGCTCGGGGCTCTCTCCCGGGACAGCATGCCAAATAAGCTTTGTAAATCATCAGCTAAGTGTGAACTCTTGAAATGAATGAATGAATGGTTGGTTGTCTTACATCCGGTTGCCAGATGTGCAGATATATGAATTAATGAATGGTTGCTTGTCTTACATCCGGTTGCCAGATGTGCAGCTATATAAATAAATTAATGGTTGGTTGTCCTACATCTGGTTGCCAGATGTGCAGAAATATGACTTAATGAATTATAGTGTTTTACATTGGGTTGCCAGATCTGAAGCTGAATGAATGAATGATGTTGTCTTACACTCGGTTGACAGATCTGCATATGTATAAATTAATGAATGAATAATATTGTCTTACATCAAGTTGCCAGATCTGGAGCTTTATGAATGAATGAAAGGTTGGTTGTCTTACATCTAGTTGCCAGATGTACAGATATATGAATGAATAAATAATATTGTCTTGCATCAGGTTGCCAGATCTAAAGCTATTTGAATGAATGAATGGCTGGCTGGATATCTTACATCCGGTTGCCAGATGTGCAGCTATATAAATAAATCAATGGTTGTCCAACATCTGGTTGCCAGATGTGCAGATATATGAATGAATGAATAAATAAATTATAGTGTTTTACATCGGGTTGCCAGATCCGAAGCTATATAAATAATTGAATGAATGAATGAATGAATGAATGAATGAATGAATGATGTTGTCTTACACCCGGTAGCCAGATGTGCATATGTATGAATGAATGAATGAATAATATTGTCTTACATCAAGTTGCCAGATCTGGAGCTTTATGAATGAATGGTTGGTTGGTTATCTTACATCTTGTTGCCAGATGTGCAGCTATATTAATAAATGAATGGTTGTCCTACATCTGGTTGCCAGATGTGCAGATATTTGAATGAATGAATGATATTGTTTTTCATCGGGCTGCCAGATCTGGAGCTATTTAAATGAATGATGTTGTCCTACATCCGGTTGCCAGATGTGCAGCTATATAAATGAATGAATGAATGGTTGTTTTACATCTGGTTGCCAGATCTGCAGCTCCTTCAGGACAGCCTGGAGCCGGTTTTCCCACCTCAGCGCGTCCTCCGCACAGTGAGTGTAGAGATGTGGATTGGCTTCCAGCAGATCCTGAGCCAGGATATTATAAGACATGACGCTGAAGTCGAACACAGGAGACGCGTCTGCACTGTCACTGCTCTGCGGTTCACTGAGGTCCTCCCACACTCGCCACATCACTTAGAGAGAACAGAGGAAAGTCTGACTACAATACACAGTAACATGAGCCATGTTATTCACCCTCGCGTTAATATTTCCCAAATGATGTTGAACAAAATCACAGTGTTTCCTCTAATATTTGTTCTTCTAAAGTCTGATTTGTTTTATTTGGGCTAGAATAAAAGCAGATTTTAATTGTTTTAAAGCCATTTTAAGGTCAATATTATTCACCCCTTCAGCAATATTAGTGTTGGATTGTCTCCAGAACAAACCACTGTTATACAATGACTTGCCTAATTACCCTAACTTTACCCTAATTACCCTAGTGAAGCCTTTACATGTCACTTTAAGCTGAACACTAGTGTCTTGAAGAACATCTAGTCTAATATTATGATTAAACTATTATCATTTGAAATGTGTTCTCTCTGTTAAACTGAAATTGAGAAACAAATATATACAGGAGGGTGAATAATTCTGCCTTCAACTGTAGATGCACTCTGTAAATGCACATTTCAGTACATTACAGCATCCTGCGGCTCTACTTTACGCCTGTATTACATTGCAGGATCAATCTGACCTTCTATATTGTCCTGGTCTTGAAATGCAGGATAGTAGCTGACGTCGGGAAACTGCACGTAAGGACAGTAGCACATCTCCGCCAGGCCGTGTCCGACAGGAAAGTGCCACCCGATGGGCTCAGCATCCATCTGGAGCTGCTGTGTGTCCGACAGTAAAGCTGACAGGTCAAACACCGGGCTGCGGGACGCGAAGAGAAGAGCTGCACCTCCAGAGCTGGCAGACACACCGTCACACCGGTCTGCTTCTGCAGCGGAGACAAACAGGCAGTCATTAAGATTAAAGTTCACCTGTATTGACCTCATTTTCCAGTACGAGCGGGGGGAGCTCAGGAATTCAATCATATATTTATAATTCCTGCTCAGCTTTTAGATTATAGCATATAGCTGTCAGCTAGCTCTCTGCAACTCTCATATGGTCGCTCTCTGAAGCCAAGCAGGGCTGCGCCTGGTCAGTATCTGGATGGGAGACCACATAGGAAAGCTAGATTGGTGCTGAAAGTGGTGTTAGAGAGACCAGCAGGGGGCGCTCAACCTGTGGACTGTGTGGCTTCCTAACGCCCCAGTATATTGATGAGGACTCAGGGGTTGCTATTCTGAGGAGCTGAAATAGACGGCACCATTGACCAACTAAAAGCTGCTCTAAAGGCCAGCAGAGTGTGTTAGTTATGTGCCTATGCAGGTCCAAATGCTGAACACACACAGGATGATCAGCAACACACACATATCTGTACAGATGAAAGGATTAAAATGATCCAGACATGATGACTTTCTCCATCAGTATAAACACACTGCCTCCATGCCTTCTTCTCCTCGGGGGGCTTCTTCAGTTTATTGATGAGCATCTGCATCTGTATAATGGTAATATTATTAGCAGTATTATTGATTATCTGCAGATTTATAATAAACACGAGTGTAGATGTGTCCAGCTGTGGGGTTTTGGAGACGTCTGCACCAGCATATGTGGATAAGAGCAGGACGTGTGTTTGGATATAACTCAGTTTTCTGACCACACTTCATTATTATTGTTCATTTATTCCTCTGCTGGAGATTAGAGCTGAATTTAGAAATAGTTTTGAAGCAAATCTTTGTGCTTAACAAAGGAGATTAAATATGTGGGCTGATGGATGTGTTCAGTGGAGAGAGTTTCCACCGTTTCCTCACTCCACCAAAGTAAAGGAGTAAAAGGGAAAGTAAAGAGGCTGAATGGAGGAGGCTCGTTCTTTATTCTTGTGCTGCAGATGCTCTGTTTAACTGTGTTCTTGCTAGTGAAGCGTTCAGTTTTTACACTAACAAAGCCCACCATGTAAATAGCAAATGCACCATGGAGCGACACAACTCACTCTTAAAAGGAATGCGAGTAGGCATGGCCCGGAATAAGATACTGACAATATGATAACCTTGGATAAACGGTTTCACTGTAATGTTCTTTCTGCTCTAAAATATATTATTTTAATTGTCTGAGTAAAACTATTTTTTCCCCCTTTTGAACACAAAATATTTTTATTTTGAGAATCATTTTTAACTATTTAGAGCAGTAAACATGTCAGTCTAAATAATTAAAATCAATTATTGACTTCTGCTGTCTGCATTTGTTTCAAAAACACTGATGTGCTTACAATTTAAAACGGCATCTTCGGCAGGGTTCAACACTAAGGATTTTTTCTACTGGTCCGATCGAGCCAATGGTTCAGATTTTTACTTGCCCTACCAAAATTTTCACTGTTCCCACCAAAGAAAAAATCTAATTTAATAGCTATTTTTTTAGCCACATATTTTAAATAATGTGTCAAAATTAATGTCTATAATTATTTCATTATTTAAATAATATTTTTAAAATGTTATTATATGTATATTGAGCAAAATTATGGGCCCTATCATACACCCAGCGCAGTGTGGCGCAAGGCGTGGTGCAGTAGTCTTTTGGTAGTTTCAGCTTGGCGCATGAGTCGTTTTGAGCCGTTGTGCTACGCTGTTTAAATAGCAAATGCATTAGCGCTCATTTGTGCGCCCATAGGCGTTCTGCTCTAAAAAGGAAGGCGTTCTGAGGCGGACCGCTGGCGCGTCGCTATTTTGAGAATCTATAATAGATTTTTCATTAGACCAATACGCACAAGAGAGCAATAGGCAAATATCTTTATATATGAAAACATTTAAATATTAAGGATATATATAGGATATAATAAGAATAGATATAGGATATAAATATAAAGGATTAAAATATTACAAAACATATTATTTTCTAGCCTACATAAATATGAAAAATCACTGCTTTTATGTCTTCTTCATCTCGGGAGGCTTTTTCAGTTCATTCATAACAATTTGCTTTTGTATAATGTTATTATTATTAGCAGTATTATTTATTATATCCATATTTATATTTGTTTTATTAAAAACAAGCTTAGATTTACCCACCTGTCAGGTTTTAGACCATATGGGGCACAGCATGTGTTTTAGGATATAACTCAGGTTTTTGAGCACATTTTGTTATTATTGTTCATTTATTCATTTGCTAGAAATTATAACTGAATTTAGAAATAGTTTCGAAACAAATAATTTGCGCTTAACAAACAAAATAATTTATTTATAGACTAATTGTTGTCTGTGCGTAAAGACTTCCCTATCCACGAGAGTGAAAGTGAAAGTAGATCCATTATCTCTCATTCTCACACAGTAGATGCTCTGTTTAACAGTTTTCTGTTAAAAACACTGTGAACTGTTTGCTAGTGAAATGCGTCCTGTAAATAGTGAATGCGCTCTTGGCGTGACGCAGCTGGCTCTTAAAGGGAATGGGAGACGAGACTCTGATTGGTTTATTCTTAAAACACACCTATAACTCATTAAGAAAATAAACTCAACCCTTTTAGACCATGCGCCTTGGCGCAAGGCAGATTTTCCCATCCTTAAATTAGCAAAAACGCGTCCTGACACGCCCTGAAAGCGTTTGCGCCCTGTGTTTTGCGCTCTGCGCATGGACCATCAAAATAGAGCCCTAAGTGTTAACAAAACAAAAGAGCAGTATGGAAAATGTGAAGGTATTTTATTTTAGTTTGAAATTATTTAACAAAAGGTGGCCCCAATCGGGCCAGTAATGATCCTGTCTACTGTCCCAAGCGTCTCTCACACTGGCCCTGGGCCATCGGGCAGTCCTTATTGTTGAGCCCTGTTTAGATATCTTTTCTGCTGGAAATAATGTTGTCCTAAAAAATAAATAAATAAACAAAAATAAATAAAATATTAAATAAATGTTGAAAATCTAACACAGACCTTGGAAAAGGTATAGCAGAAAGTTTTGGTGGTTTTAAAACCTTGACTTTTCCAAACCGCGGTAAACCTTGAAAACGGTTCTCATGCCTAAATGTCTGATTGGTTAAATGCAGGTTATGCTCAAAACACACCCAGAACTCATTAAGAGAGTCAGCACAGCCCTGTTAGACCATGCCGAATAGCAAAAGTGCATTCAGACACCCCTTAATGCTTTTGCGCCGTGCGCTTTAGACTTTGCGCCTAGATCGTTAAAATACAGCTCAATCTTTTCTATGTACGACTGCAATACATTAAGCGGGAATTTGATCCCATAACTCATACTTCAGTTTCTCATCAAATCTTCTGACCAATCAGATGCTCTGTAGTGTCTGACATGCCCCACCTCCTCCTTCTCATTGGCTGTTCATTTGACGTGCTTGAGCTCGACCACTCTCACTGGCAGAGCTGTGAGAAAACAACACTATTGGCTGTTTGTTTGTTTTAAAGGGGAGGAGCTACTCTACGCCCCGCCCTCTTTTCATGTTTCAGTTGAGATTACATCAAACATCCAATAAAAAAGCACTTATTTGGAGACCTTTAACCCTTTCCTGCATCTTAAATGATGACAATATTAACCATATTCATGCATGACAGTGAATAATACATCAACAGCCCATATTCCGCACCTGAGGGAGCGTCTGCAGTCAGATGTGGAGAGATCTCGCTGTGTTTTCCAGCTACTGAGCTGAACACATAGTCAGATTCAGCCTGGTTCTTCACAGGTTGTGGATTGTGTGTGTCCTCCAGACCGGCGAGCGGTGTTTCTGACAGCACTCCCTCCATCTGACTGACATCACACAGAGTTTTCTGCAGCTCTTCTTCTGCTCGTGCTCTCTCTAGAGTCTCCACCAGTGTTCCCTGAGGATGGACACACAGTATGTTGTATATATTCAACACATCGATTCAGCTGAAGCCAAAGTTATTACATCAACCTTTCAGCGGAAGAACCTAATGGTGGATAAAACACACTTGTTGTGCTTTAATCATAACTGTATTTAATACAGGCGGAGGTCTGCTGTACCTGAGGATGGTGTGTGTGAGTGTGTTTGTCTTGTGGAAGCTGTGCTGATCTCTCTGTGCTGTTCCTCTGCAGTGAGTCCTCCGTCTGCTGCTGCTGCTGTCCTCCACCGTCCCAAACCTCTCTGCCATTCACATGCACTGGCGGAGGCTTCTGCCACGCTGCTGTAGAGACACAGCACAAACACCGATTGCAGAACACAGCTGATCTGATTGGAGGATGCAGATCTAGCTCAAAAGAAGACACTATAGATGAAGTTTGAGCTGCAGATGTTGGGAAAATCTGACATGGGGGGGTTTTCTGCGATGTGAATACAGTTTCAGCAGATGATTTGAATAGCTCTAATTGGAAAGATTTCATTCATTTAGATAGATTTTAGATAGTTTGATTAGGAGGATCAAGTGTTTTTCCATGCACTGCGTAAATCATAATAAATTACAAACATATATAAACACAACAGAGCAAAGCTCAAATTGAATTAGACAGGGCTTTACGGTTTTCAAGTATTCAAGTACAGAAGTTAAACAATCAAATGTAAAATAGCATGGCCATCATGGTATAAATAATATTAAAATAATAATAATATCTTTTGTTCTTTAATAAATAATCTAATCCTGTGATGCGATCATTGCCGATACACACATTGTGATATCGATGCTCAAATGATATATTGTGCAGCCCGAATTGAAATTGTCATTATTTTTATAATTAATATTTAATAATTAAATAAATAAAAAACAATAATTAATATTTATAATTTAACTAATATTGAAATTATTACTATTTCTAATTTAAATAATTGCAAAATAATTGCAAAATAATTATTAATATTTATATGTATAAATTAATTAATATTTAAATTTTAATTAACATTCAAATAATTAAAAATTCTAATATTTTTAATGATTAAAAAAAGTAAAAACTAATATTTTCAATTCAACTCATATTTCGATATTTGAAAAATAATCAAAAATATATCATAATTAATATTATTTGTTCAGATATTAATTATTTAAATATGCATTGAATTTGAAATATTATTAGATTATTTAAAATATGAATTATTATTTGAATATGAAATATTATTCATTCATTTATTAATTTTCTTTTCAGCTTAGTCCCTTTATTAATCAGGGGTCGCCACAGCGGAATGAACCTCCAACTATTCCAGCATATGTTTTCCACAGCGGATGCCCTTCCAGCTGCAACCCAGTACTAGTAAACACCCATACACACTCATTCACACTCATACAGTACGGACAATTTAGTTGATCAGTTCCCCTATAGCGCATGTGTTTGGACTGTGGGGGAAACCGGAGCACCCGGATGTTAATGTACATTAAAATCAGAAATAAAGCAACGTTGTAGAAACTAAATAATTTAAAAAGATAAATCGAGAAAAAATCTTTTAAAAATGGATTTGCTGTTGCCAAGGTTGAGAATTTATTTTATATTCAGCATGGGGGTGGCACGGTGGCTCAGTGGTTAGTACTGTGGCCTAACAGCAAGAAGGTCACTGGTTCGAGCCTCGGCTAAGCCAGTTGGTGTTTCTGTGTGGAGTTTGCATGTTCTCCCCCTGTTGGTGTGGGTTTCCTGCATGTGCTCCGATTTCGCCCACAGTCCAAAGACATGCGCTATAGATAAACTAAATTGGCCGTAGTGTATGAGTGTGTGTGTGTGTTTTCCAGTACTGGGTTGCAGCTGGAAGGGCATCTACTGCATAAAACATATGCTGGAATAGTTGGCGGTTCATTCCGCTGTGGTGACCCCAGATAACCAGAGACTAACCCAAAGGAAAATGAATGAATATTTATTTACATTTTGTAGGAAAGAGTGTATACAGCCTCGTTTATGTGCTGGTGTTTTGCCATTTCATGCTCTGTTCGCTGTTTCTACACTATTATGGTGTTTATGGCAGTAACACGACACACTTTTACTATTTGTTTTTCTCTTCAGGAATGTTTTCTGTTAAACACACGTTCAAAAATAAACGCACCTGTGACAGCGGTGTACATTAAACTGTGACAACTTACCCCGTTCTCTAATCAACTTACATATGTATATTTGGCGATATACTGCATATATATAACCGATATAATAAAACAACATAGGGATATTTCGTGATTGTCAGCATTAAATAAAAGGCCTGCAGTATTTAAGTGCTTCAAAACAGCGTTTACTCTAGCTCATCATCGCTAATCAGTCAGAGATGAGGTGATTTATCAGATATATTGTTCACTTTAGTGTGTGTTTCTGCCGCGGGCGTGTTTATTATTATTATAGTTGAGGCGCACGTGCTCGTGCTGCAGGCGCGCGGCCGAGTCATCAACAGAAACAGATAAAAACAAAAGAACAGGAACAGTCTCACCTGAAACTCTGTCGAGGAGTCTGGAAAGCGGATAAAGCGCATAAAACATCGCACTGACGATCATCTGGAAAAGCCACTAACTTTATATTATTCAGCAGCAGAACAGCGAACCAACGCGAGGGGGCGACAGCGGCGTGACGACACGACAGACGCCGGCGGAGTGACGTCACTGCCCACAGACAGCCGCGCCTCCCCAAACTTTGCATCACTGGTAGTAACAATGGTGAACTCCCTTCAAATACACTATTAATCATACAATTAAAGAAATCCATTTTCAAATATTACATTTACCCAGTGAAATCGTTTTTATCAAAGTACATTGAGATCTGTGGTTTCTGCAATGTGGATAAAGAGAGCTTTTGTCATTTGTTTTTTGAATGCAGCATTGCAAAGGACTTCTGGAAGAATCTAGCCAAATATGTTTTTGAAAGGACAAAGGACAAAACAATTTTACATTAAAAGATAATATTTATATTGTGAAAAAAATCCAACAGATGTCTTGAGTATATTGTTAATCTCTTTATTTTATTGGCAAAGTTTTGCATGCACAAACTGAACTTTGCTAGATCATCTTCCACATTAACAGATTTTTGTATCGAGTTTGACTTTTTTTATTGTTTAAAAGCAAAAATCTGAGATATGCATCAATTATTATGACAGTTTTTTGATTCCACTTTCAATTCTTAAAATCAAGGTTGCTGCTTCGATCCTCGGCTCAGTTGGCGTTTCTGTGTGGAGTTTGCATGTTCTCCCTGCGTTTGTGTGGGTTTCCTCCGGATGCTCCGGTTTCCCCCACAGTCCAAACACATGCTGTACAGGTGATTTGGGTAGGCTAAATTGTCTGTTGTGTGTGTGTGTGTGTGTGTGTGTGTGTGTGTGTGTGTGTGTGTGTGTGTGTGTGTGTGTGTGTGTGTGTGTGTGAATGTGTGTGTGGATGTTTCACAGAGTTGGGTTGCGGCTGGAAGGGCATCCGCTGCGTAAAAATGTGCTGGATAAGTTGGCGGTTCATTCCGCTGTGGCGACCACGGATTAATAAAGGGACTAAGCCGACAAGAAAATAAATGAATTTATCTGTGTTTTGTTTTTTTGTTTGTTTTAGTTTTCTGTGTTTCATATGTTGTATTGTGCTGTATGTTTGTTCCTGATGGTTATGCAATAACAAAACCCTAACCCTAATGAAAAAAAAAAAAAAAAAAAAAAAAAAAATATATATATATATATATATATATATATATATAAAATAAAAATAAAAAATAAATAAATAAATAAATAAAAATAAATAAACAAATAAATACATAAAAATAAATTAAAAACTAAAAAGATATATAAATAAATAAAATAAATAAATAATAAAATTAAAAAAAATAATTTATTAATATAAATAAAAATAAATGAATTAATAAATAAAGCACGGGTCTGGAAAGATTTTGCCATTATTTGCCAGAAAAAAAATTCTATATTATTTATTGATCCATTTCTAAGTTTGCTGATGTTGGTGTGACCTGCTCATTCTGTGGTTTTGTAGAGGAAACAGCTCCCAGTTTGGTTTGTTTTAGTTTTTAATGCAGTTTTTTTAACAACATTTTGGGGAGATGTTTTTAAATTTACCAATGTGAACCAAATTTTAGTCCTCGAAGATGTTATATTTCATTATAAAAAAAAATCCAGCTTAATCTTTTGCATACATTATTTTTTTATATTAAATGCAAAACAAATATTTATATACACAAATGTCTCAAGTCTTTTTTGTGTATTCCAGTCTTTCTGGCTCAATTTGACTCTCTTGTTTCCTCTCATTCATTCATTCATTCATTTTCTTTTCAGCTTAGTCCCTTTATAAATCAGGGGTCACCACAGCGGAATGAACTCCCAACTTATTAAGTATATGTTTTACGCAGCAGATGCCCTTCCAGCTGCAACCCAGTACACCCATACACACTCGAACCCAGAGGAAACCAACACTAACACGGGGAGAACATGCAAACTCCACACAGAAACACCAACTGACCCAACCGGGACTCAAACCAGTGACCTTCTTGCTGTGAGTCCACAGTGCTAACCACTGAGCCACCGTGTCACCCATAGTATATCATAATATAATGTGTGTTTGTACAGTATGTGTGTGTGTGTGTGTGTGTGTGTGTGTGTGTGTGTGTGTGTGTCTGTGTGTGTGTCTGTGTGTGTGTGTGTTTGTATGTCGGTGATTTTGTGTCTGTGCTTATGTGTGTGTTTGTATGTGTGCGTTTGTGCAATTGTGTGTGTGTGTGCAGGAATAACACATGCATGTTTAATGACTTTCTCTGAGTTCCAGCACTAGAGCAGGATCACATTTACAACTGTTGCTAAGACACACACACACACACTCACACACACACTTCACACACACAACAGACCTCAATTTACACACGTAGACACTTCACACACACAGCAGATCTATATATGACGCAGCGCACTGTCACAGCCTGCAGAAGATGAAGACTATAGACAGCAGTGTTCACAGTCTGTCTCTGGATTCCCTCAGTCTGACTGAGAATGAACATCACCATGACATCCATCTGGAGGATGAAGACGACACAGAGTCTTTGGGAGATCAGATGGACCGCTTTCCAGGACCTGCTTTCAGGAAAACAACAACAGGTCAGTGCATACACTGGACACAAACCAGGATGCCCTCCAAAAAGAGTAGGGGTGTGTCCCCGCCCGGAAACCAGGCCAACGTGCCTACTGGCTTCTGTCCATCATGACGTCTGTATAATTGGCTTCATCACTTGATCTCCTCTCCACCAGTAAGATGTCCTCATTCAGGGACCACTGAATTGGGTTTACAGTGAGACTCAGAGGGAGTATAGTCTCAGGTCTCTCAGAGGGGTCTTTGGATGTGTGTTTGGGAAAGAGCATCGGCCTTAACATTGTTTGTCCCTGGACAACAGGCAATGGAGGAATTATAAGACTTCTTTAAGAAATTAAAGAAGTGGGTTCACCTGATCTGCCTGGGATCCAGCTACTTTGTGTCTCTGAGATACTCATAAAGTTATGAGCACAAGGAAAGGGGAACGAGCCTGACTAGCCAGTGCCTCAGTTCTTCCAGTTCAAACCTGAGGGGCAGTAACTCTCTGATGTCAGAATTCTGCTCTGGCAGGGGTCATTTATAGATCTATTACAGATGGGGAGCGTTTTTCCTGAGTTTGTCCTCTATATGCATTACTTTATTACATTATGTAAATCAGATGAAAGATGCTCTTGTGTTTTCTCCAGTATCAGGGGTGAAGCTGATCAGGAAGGATTTGTCGACTGAAAAACTGTACCTGCAGGCCTGTAAACTGGTGGGAGTCATTCCTGTCAGATACTTCATCAGGAACCTGGGCTGTGCCACCATTAACCTCAACCACCACGGCCTCGGTCCACTGGGAGGAAAAGCCCTGGCCATCGCTCTAGTGGTGAGACTCATGCAGCACCATCTACAGGCTATACTATACTATACTATACTATACTATACTATACTATACTATACTATACTATACTATACTATACTAAATTACACTATACTAAATTATAATAGACTAAACAATATCAGATTGAAGTAAACTATACTATATTATATTATACCAGACTATACTATAGAAAACTATACCGGACTATACTGTACTGTACTGTACTATACTACACTAAAATATACTTTACTTTACTAGACTAGACAACAATACACTAAACTAAAAGGTACTAGACTAAAGTAAACTATACTATATTATATTATACCAGCCTATACTATAGAAAACTACACCAGACTTAACTATACTAGAATACACTATACTACACCAGACCTTACTATACTATACTGTACTATCCTATTCTATCCTATCCTATACTATATTATACTATACTATACTACACGACACTATATTATACTATACTACACTATCCTAAATTATACCATACTTTACTAGACTACACTACACTAGACTAAAAGGTACTAGACTGAAGTGAACTATACTATATTTTATTATATTATACCAGACTATACTATAGAAAACTATACCATAGTATACTAGACAACACTATACAACACCATACTATACACAATAATATACTATACTATAATACACTACACTACACTACACTACACTACACAACACAACACTATACTATACTATACTATGTTACACTATACTATTTTACACTTTACTACACTATACTATACTATACTTTGCTATACTATACTATTTTACAATATACTACACTATACTTTGCTATACCATACTATACTATACTATACTATTTTACACTATACTACACTATACTTTGCTATACTATACTGTACTATACTATACTATACTAAATTACACTATACTAAATTATAATAGACTAAACAATATCAGATTGAAGTAAACTATACTATATTATATTATACCAGACTATACTATAGAAAAATAAACCAGACTATACTGTACTGTACTATACTACACTAAAATATACTTTACTTTACTAGACTAGACTACAATACACTAGACTAAAAGGTACTAGACTAAAGTAAACTATACTATATTATATTATACCAGCCTATACTATAGAAAACTACACCAGACTTAACTATACTAGAATACACTATACTACACCAGACCTTACTATACTATACTGTACTATCCTATCCTATCCTATCCTATCCTATACTATACTATACTATACTATAGTACACTACACTATATTATACTATACTACACTATCCTAAATTATACCATACTTTACTAGACTACACTACACTAGACTAAAAGGTACTAGACTGAAGTAAACTATACTATATTTTATTATATTATACCAGACTATACTATAGAAAACTATACCATAGTATACTAGACAACACTATACAACACCATACTATACACAATACTATACTATACTATACTATACTACACTACACAACACTATACTATACTATGTTACACTATACTATTTTACACTATACTGCACTATACCATACTATACTTTGCTATACTGTACTATTTTACACTATACTACAGTATACTTTGCTATACTATACTATACTATACTATACTATACTATACTATACTATACTATACAAGACTAGACTATAATATGCTATGCTATGCTATGCTATACTATACTAGACCATACTATTATATACCGGACTAAATTGTATTCTCAGCATTACTCCAGTCTTCAGAGTCTATTGATCCTTTAGAAATCATTATAACATGATGACTTGATGATCAAGAAATGAAGAAATGTGATCATCATTATTTTGTTCTCTTCATACAAAATATTCTGGAAATGTATAAAAATATTAAATTCTTTGTTGATTGAAGACACCTGTAGTAAATAAAAATGTAATTTCTTAATATTATTGTTAATAAAATCACAGTTTCAACAAAAATACAAAGAAACACAATTTAACATTTGAACATTTTAGCACATTTGACATTTTACCACAGATGCATGTAAAAAGCAGCTGCTTTAATGGTAATAAAGCTGTACTGTATGATCATCACTCATCAGTGTGTGTGTCGGTGCGCAGACAGACATGCACACCACCACTCTGGAGCTGGCTGACAACTGTCTGCGGGCTGAAGGAGCAACACACCTGATGGAGATGCTGAGGGCCAACTTTACCATCCACAACCTGGTGAGCTTCATTTCTATTGCTAATATTAGGGTTACCACTGTCGCCTCACAGCAAGAAGGTCGCTGGTTCCAGGAGGCATTTCTGTGCGCTGTTCTCGCCATGATTATGTTGGTGTTCGTAACAAACTGTATTAAATGGTGTACTATACTCTAGCTTTTACTACAATATACTGTGGTGTATTGTGTTATGATATAGCCTATACATTTGTGCTGGGTCATTTGTTTATATTATAGTAGTTGTCGTGTTTCTATAGCAACTGTAGAACCACCACAACATATCACTTACTATAGTTGTTGTGTTACCATAGCAACTGTAGAATCATCACAATAGATGAGTTAATATAGTTGCTGTGTTACTATAGCAACTGTAGAATTACCACAATGGCACAATTACTGTAGTTACCATAGTAACTATAGAATCACTTCAACAGATTATTCTAAGAAATTGACTATAGTATGGAGGAAATAACTTTAGTATTACGCTGGCATCCTCCACAATCAAATATATGCAGTATAGGTGAACTGGAGAAACTAAACTTCAGTAAACTATATATAATAAGTTTAAAAGAAGAATAAAAAAATAGTTAAATTCAGAAAGAAAATGCGTAAAGTATAGAGGAGATTTAAGCCACTAATTTTTGTGTATAAATAACGAAAATTGCATTTGATATAAGTACATTATCAACGTATTCACAAAATAAAATCTTGAGATTTGCAGAAGTATTGGCCAGATTAAGTTTAAAAGCATAAGAATTTTATTCAACCCGAAATGTATGTTACTCCTCTATAAAGGATTCTTTCATAAAGCCACAAAACAGCAAGTCACATAAACATCAGCAAAAAAGTGGATTAATTACCAGTATAGAGATGCAAAATTTAATAAGGAATCTACTTTGTCTGTCCACTAGAGGGAGGCAGAGCGTAGACCTGTGACGTCCTTCTGAAAAGAAGGGTAGTAGTCTACCGAAAGTAAATACTGTGGTGATTTTGAACCATACTAAAGTGTATTTTACTGTATATATTATAATATTTACAACTCTGTTAATGAATACTGCAGCATAGTGTAGTATTAACTAGGAAACTGTTAAACTTGAATAAATATAGTAGTATACTTCAGCTTTTACTACAGTAAACAGTGGTGCAGTGTAATTTAATAAACTGTAATGTACTGTAATTGTAGAAACATACAATAACAGGTCATTTGTTTACATTACTGTAGTTGTTGTGTTACCATAGAAACTGTAGAATCACCACAACGGATCAATTACTGTAGTTGTTGTTACCATAGCAACTGTAGAATCACCACAACAGATCTAGTTGTTGTGTTACCATAGCAACTGTAGAATCAACACAATATATCAGTTACTATAGTTGTTGTGTTCCTATAGCAACTGTAGAATCACCACAACAGATCAATTACTATAGTTGTTTTGTTACCGTAGCAACTGTAGAATCACCACAACAGATCAGTTACTATAGTTGTTGTGTTACCATAGCAACTGTAGAATCACCACAACATTATTTCATGTGCTGTGTGTGTGTGTGTTTGTGCGTGTGTTTTCAGGATCTCTCCGACAATCAGCTTCAGTCTGCCGGAGCGGAGAGCGTGGCTAAAATGCTGCTGGAAAACATCTCCATTAAATCCCTCAAACTGTCAGGTACTTCACGCATATGACCATCATCCCACATGATGAGGAGCTAAAGCTGATTCAGACTGACACACAAACACAACGCTTGTGTTCACAGGGAATAAGTTCACTGAAGATGATGCCAAATGGTTTGCAGATGCTCTCTCGGTAAGTCAAAGGGTTAGTTCAGCCAAAAATGAAACTCAACCACATGTCATCCAGCAGACTGCAGTCGCACATGCACTGAAAACTGTTTGGCCACACTGTGGATTAAAGCTATGATACTTTAAATAATGTTAGGTTTCTTGGAACGATCGTAAACTTCACAAGACCTCAGCGTGTCATCAGGAGTCGTGAATATTGATTGGGACTCGTTTCTGTGTGTTTGTTTTTAATCTAATAAGCCTGTCACCATTCACTGCCATTATATGCAGCAACAAACACCACAGATTCAGCTCAAAATCGGCTTGAATGTTCTGCTGAAGGAAAAAGAGTCAACTCTTGGGTGACCTGTGGTGAGTAAATCAACAGGAGATTTTCATTGTTGAGTGAACTAACCCTTTAAAGTCTGCTCCATGTTCCCTTGTGTCCACAAGTGCCGAGAATAAATAAACATCTCTCTGATTTTCAAGAGATGAAGGATCTGATTTTGTTTCTTCAGAGCAACTACAGGGTGAAGGAGCTGGATTTAAGCCACAACGAGTTCAGCGGCAGAGGTGGAGAACATCTGGGCCAGATGATCGGTGAATAAAATAAACTGTGAGAATCAAACTTAGCAACACACAGACCAAAATCACAGTAATGAAATGTTTGTTCATGCAGCAAATAACGATGGTTTAGAAGTTCTTGATCTGAGCTGGAATCACCTGCGCATGAAAGGAGCCGTCGCTTTCTGTGCGGGACTGAAGGTGAAGACACCATAAATAATAATAATACAGTATATTTTATCAAATACTTGTAGCATTATTATAGTTTGTACAATTTACTAGCATTGATAGTTTTTTGCTGTGTTTGCAGGTGAACACGACTCTGAAACACCTGGATCTGTCGTGGAATGGCTTTGGAAATGAAGGTGCTTTGGCTCTGGGTGAAGCGCTGAAGTTCAACAACACACTGCAGCACCTGGACCTCAATAACAACCGCATCACTGATGAAGGAGCCGGCATGCTGAGCAAAGGTCTGGAGGCCAACGACACACTGCGAGTGCTGCAGGTCAGCCTCTGACCACTGACTAACACACTGAGAAAACATGGGGCCTGTTCCATAAATGTGGCTAATCAAACTCTGGATTACAAGATTTGTGTTGAGTTTACAAAACCAGAACAAGGAACGAGTGTCCTTGTTGTCACTTTGCTCAAAGTTTATTGTTTGAATCTTGGTTGGTTATCTCTAAACCAGAACATAACCTGATCATAACCAAAACATAACCAGTACATGGATGAGTGTCTTTATTGTCAGTTTGCTCAAAGTTGATTGATGGAATCTCTGTTAGTCATCTCTAAACCTGAACATAACCAAAACATAACCCGAACTTAACCAGAACATGGATGAGTGTCTTTATTGTCACTTTGCTCACAGTTGATTGATAGAATCTCGGTTAGTTACCTCTAAACCAGAACATAACTAGAACATAACCTAAATATAACCAGAACATGGACGAGTGTCTTTATTGTAACTTTGCTCACAGTTGATTGATAGAATCTTGGTTAGTTATCTCTAAACCAGAATATAACCTGAACATAACCTAAACATAACCTGAACATAACCAGAACATGGATGAGTGTCTTTATTGTCACTTTGCTCACATTTGATTGATAGAATCTTGGTTAGTTATCTCTAAACCTGAACATAACCAGAACATAACCTGAACATAAACAGAACATGGATGAATGTCTTTATTGTCACTTTTCTCAAAGTTGATTGATGGAATTTTCGGTTAAATATCTCTAAACCAGAACATAACTCAAACATAACCAGAACATAACCTGAATATAACCTGAACATAGACAAGTTTCTTTATTTTCACTTTGCTCAAAGTTGGTTGATGGAATCTCAGTTAGATAAACACAACTAAGACAACCTGAACATAACCAGAACATGGACCAATGTCTTTATTAACTGTTCTCAAAGTTGATTGGTGGAATTTCAGTTATTGATCTCTAAACCAGAAAATAAGCTGAACATAACCTGAATATAACCTGAACATAAACAGAACATAACCTGAACATAGCCAGAACATGGGGGTACGTTTGCTCACAGTTGATTGGTGGAATCTTTTTTATTGATCTTTCAACTAGAACATAACCAGAAAATAACCTAATTATAACCCGAACATAACTTGAACATAACCAGAACATAGCCTGAACAAAACCATAACATAGGGGAACATTTGCTCACAGTGGATTGATAAAATCTCAGTTAGTAATCTCTAAACCAGAACATAACCTGAATATAACCTAAACATACCCAGAACATAGCCTGAGCAAAACCAGAACATGGGGGAACATTTGCTTATGGATGATTGATGAAATCCCAGCTTGTGATCTTTAAACCAGAACATAAACTGAAAATAACTTGAACATAACCAGAACATAGCCTGAACAAAACTAAAACATAGGGGAACATTTGCTCACAGTTGATGGATGAAATCTCAGTTAGTGATTACTAAACCAGAACACAACCTGAACATCACTAGAACATAGCCAGAACATAACCTGAACATAACATGCCTCAGAGCGGGTTAGCTGCGCACCATAAGATAGTGACAAAGAAGGATTAAACCCAAGTTGGCATCATGGTACAAAAAGAGACAGGATTATTGCTAACTAAACTCAAGTTTAACTGGATAACCAGCTAATTCGGCTTCATGGACCAGCCCCCCGCTCTCATTACCATTTCATGATTACCATCAGTTACAGAGCATAAGCCGAACAAATGTTTTGGTTTAGAGATCCCTAACTGAGATTACCTCAATCAACCATGAAACTATCAAAATCACAATAAAGACTCTCGTCCATGTTCTGGTTATGTTCAGGTTATGTTCATGCTATGTTCAAGTCATCTTGAGGTTATGTTCTGGTATAGAGATCCCTAATTAAGATTACACCAATCAACTGTAAGCAAAATGACAATAAAGACATTTCCCCATGTTCTGGGTAAGTTCAGGATATGTTCAGGGTTTAGATATCACTAATTGATATTCTACTATAGAGATCACTGGTCATCTTTAAACCTTCTGTACCATCGGTGTTCATTTTAGACACCAGCGACTCTACAAGATACATTGAGCAACTCCAACTTGAGTTGAATATGTGCGATACACTGATACTTGTTCTCCTCCAGCTGGCGTATAACTCACTGACGGTGGAAGGAGCTCTCACTTTAATCAACACGATCAAAAACACACCAAAATCCGCCATCGAGGACATCAACATTTGTGTGAGTGATGTGATAAACACTCTGCTTTCGCTTGATGAGGCTTGAATAAGCAGTGTACTGTGAGCTGAAATCTGCCAGTGTGTGTTTGTGTTCTGCTGCAGAACGTGCTGGTGAACGAGAACTTCGTGCAGCTCCTGGATCTGACCTGTCAGGAGCGTCCCAGTCTGGAGGTGCAGTATGGAGGCGTCGGAGGTTTCATCGCTAAGAAGCCTCGAAAACGCATCGACCCCATGAAGATCATCCAGGTGCACAGACTGCACTCACAGCTACTAACACTAGCTGTGTTTCCATCCAAATATGCGAACTAGATTTATCGCTAGAACTATAACTAGCAAATTAAGCTGTGTTTTCATCCAGGTGAGGGGTTTGGGGCGCTAGACGTAGATATAACTGAGGGCGCGGGTGGTGAGGGTATTGTCGCGGACGCTGCCCTCCCTATTCTGCCGTCCTAGATGCGGATATAACTGAGGGCGCGAGAGGTGACAATAGTATCGGGGACGCCGCTCTCTCTATTCTGCTGCCCTAGACCCGGATATAGCTGCGTCTAGGGCAGCAGAATAGAGAGAATAGAGAGGTGACAGTAGTATCGGGGATGCCGCTCTCTCTATTCTGCCGTCCAAGACGCGGAGATAACTGAGGGCGCGAGAGGTGACAGTAGTATCGGGGACGCCGCTCTCTCTATTCTGCCGTCCAAGACGCGGAGATAACTGAGGGCGCGAGAGGTGACAGTAGTATCGGGGACGCCGCTCTCTCTATTCTGCTGCCCTATACGCGGAGATAACTGAGGGCGCGAGAGGTGACAGTAGTATCTGGGACGCCGCTCTCTCTATTCTGCTGCCCTAGACGCGGATATAACTGAGGGCGCGAGAGGTGACAGTAGTATCGGGGATGCCTCTCTCTATTCTGCTATACTAGACGCGGATATAACTGAGGGCGCGAGAGGTGACAGTAGTATCGGGGACGCCGCTCTCTCTATTCTGCTGCCCTAGGCGGCCACCTAGGTCGCCTCTATGGACGCGCTGGCCCTGAGCGCACAGCGTTTATTTGTCCCAAAAAAAATGTCAGAACTACTAATTCATCTGTTCATGGTGTTAATAGCACTTATGGACACTGTTAACATAGGGCTTTCGTTTGGTACAGTACAGTACTTGCATTTGTGGATGTATCGACGCATTGTGGAGCTTCACAAAGACTTCTTGACCAGAGTTCATTCGGTAAAAGTGTTTTCGTTGTTCGTGTTTTCTTATCAAATGTAAAGTTTATCGTACTCAGTTGTGTGCATTCATTTTAATGCACATTTTCTAAATGGATGCACATCGTTTCATTTCCACTAAGCATTTTTTATGCGATTAATACAAAATGCAGATAAAAATAGGTGGATGGAACATGGCTGTCATTAAACAAACGTGCTGAAATGATGTCGGTCTTCTTGTAGGATTACCTCGATCAGAGAAAGCTCCGTCTGTGGGACTTCTTCAGGAACATCGACAAGGACGGGACGATGCGTGTTCCTGTGGTCGACTTCAGAAAAGCAGTTCAGGTATTAACCTGCATCCCAAAGAGGCTGCTTGCACCTGCTCACTGTGTCTGTTGTGTATTTTTTTCTGACTTTTTGACTATCTACAACTCCCGAGTTTAAACTTTTATAATGTTTTTTAATGTGAACACGGACTTGACGGACATGATGTTATGTTTAAACACAGGAGTTAAGGAGTTGTTATAAATGAGTAAATAATAATATTAATAATGTTCCCCTAAAGTAAAGTCATGACATAGAGATGCATTAACAGGTTCATGTTGGTCATGTTGCACTTTAATTAATCTTCTTTCTCATTGAGCGAGTTGCATTTAGCTCCAAATGGTGTTACTTGATACAATTATTAACAAACATGTACTAGCAAGGCAGACATAATTGACACTGGAGCTCAAGTTAGTTCTTTATTAGCGCACGCATTAGTTCATAATAAAATAGCATTTAGTTTAATACATCATTACTTATGCATCGTTATTGTTTTCTGCATTTCTCTCTCTGTGGTGTCCAGCAATCCAGCATCCCGCTGGAGAGATTCCAGATCGAGGAGCTGATTCAGCGCCTGGACAGAGACCGGACGGGTGTGGTGGACTACAGGTGCGCTTACTCTCACGCCTCTATAATGAACACTGAGCTTTTCATCAGGACAGTCAACAATACAATCACACATGATCACCTGCAATGTTCTCAGAGCATCACAAGCTTCAACTCATAACTACAATGCTGTACGAAAGAGAAATACTCCTTAGCTTACTTCTGCTGACAAGTCTTGAAATTTCATTTGCTCGTTCACGTAACATGGACAATCCCATGATTATTTAATGTTTTGAGTCATTGCCACAGCCATATCACCCTGCAGCCCAAGAACAGTTACTCAGTGAAGCTGAGCAGGGCTGAGCCGGGTCAGTACCTGCATGGGAGACCTAGCAAAACTAGGTTGCAGCTGTAAGTGGTGTTAGTGAGGCCAGAAGGGGGCGCACAACCTGCGGAGTCCTAATGCCCCAGTAAAGTGAAGGGGACAATATACTGTCAGTGAGTAGTCAGTTCGGATGACCTGAGGTCCTGACTCTTGCATGGCGCATCTCGTAAAAAGCAGGGGTGTAACCAAATTCCCTCCAAATTCCCTATCATAGCCTCGCAATCCTCTCCATCCACCGAATTGGCTCTATCACTGTCTCTGCACTCCACCAATAGCTGGTGTGTGGTGAGCGCACTGGCGCTGTTGTCCTATGGCTGTCGTCGCATTGTCCAAGTGGATGCTGCACTCTGGTGGTGGTGTGAAAATCCCCCCTCCAACCCCCCTAGATTGTGAAGCACTTAGGGTGCATGGCCATACACGATAAATGTGCTTTATTAATGCACACATTACATCAGGTGTTAAGTTGTTCATTCATCATGTTCAGCATGTACCAACCCGGGCTCATTGTGGAAACGTAGTCCAGCGGACGTTTCTGGAGACCGCGAAAAACTTCCCGGGAGGTACGTATTCGAACAGTTTTTGTATTCGCGAATCCGCGAGAGGCCGCTGTGCGCGCTTTTTTGCGTCTCGGATGCGTGAAAAGCCACCGGAGGCTGCTGTAGATCGGCCGTCCGTCCGACTGACTGGCTGAACGACTGAACGATCGACCGGGCGGCCAATCAGCCGACCCAGCTATCCTCCTCTTCCTTCTCTAAACCCAAGCGACAATTTGCAAAAGCCGTCCAGAAAAAAAAGCAAAAGCTCTCATCCGATTTTCCCCAGACTCGATCCCGGTCGTCGTCGTGGCCGGCTCCTCCTCCCTCCGGGCCTCCACTCCGCCGATGTAACCCTGCGAGCTAAGCGGACAAACTGGTTGAGGCGGGAAAGCTCTTCACACGAGGGCTACGTTACTAGAATGAGCTTGGGTTGGCATGTACAGAGAGGATTCAAACCCAAGGACTCAAGAAATTAATAGATCAAATCTTTTTCTGGCTCTAATAGTTCATGATTGGCTTATGTCCTTCACATGATGAACGAACAACTCAAACCTGAGAGAAGACTGGAAAAAGGAGCTAATCTTCTCCCCTACCTGCACAATGTGCGCATGTACGAATCAATCGTTGCTCGACTCATTGTTCACGAGTCAAATTAAAGATGTGTTCAAAATGATTGAATCGTTGAAGAACGGCCCATCGCTATCCCTCTGACAAAGCGGTTTGCTAGCATTGCTAATTTATTGCTGTGTTTGCCCACAGAGGCCTGGCAGACACTAGGAAGCAGATGATGCGGGACCACCGGCGGCAGCTGCGTAAGGTGGAATCTCGGCAGAAGAAGGAGAAGCAGAAGAGCGAGCGGATCCTGAAGACCTTCGAGAGCGCGGTGGAGGCGGTGACGCCGCGCAGCTCCATGATCATCATCTCACCCAAAGAGGACTCCAGCGGCCCGCAGCCCTTCTCCGCCACGCCGCTCAGCTCTTGGCACCACATAATCATGTCCACCAGCAGCCGCTACTCCGACCACAACATGAGCAGTGAACACGTGCACCTCCCCATGATCGGGAATCCGCCGAGCTCGCCGGGAATGAGGTCATATTCGCAGCCAAACCTGTTTGCTAGTATGCCCAAAACGGTCTCTAGCAAGCCAGCCTCCGCGCAGGGCATCCACTCCACCTCCAACCCCAGCGTGGCCAGCAGTAAACTCAGCCCCATCGCCAACCTGACCCGCTCCAGGCCTGCTCTGCACACCGAGCCCAGCGGGAGAGCCAGAGCTAAAGGCAAGAAGAAGAAGAAGACCAAGAAAACTAAGGAGAAGATTTAACAATCTGTGATTCCCAGAAGGATTTTGAGCCGTTCTTCTTGAAGAGTAGTAGCCAGGTCAGCCTAAAAAACACTCAAAAGTTCTCAATAATGTTTAGATCTTGTGACTTTGCAGGCCATGGGAGATGTTCAACTTCACTTTCATGTTCAATAGACCACTCTGTCTCCAGTCTTGCTGTGTGTGTTGGTGCATTATCATCCTGATACACAGCGCCGACTTCAGCATACAATGTTTGACCCATTGGGTCACATGGTCCTTCAGAATGGTTGGGTGGTCCTTGGCAGTGACGTGCCCATCTAGCACAAGTATTGGGCCTCCGGAAAGCCAAGATATTCAACCCAGACCATCACTGATCCCCCCATGCTTCACTCTGGGCATCAGCAGTAAGGGTGAGGCACTTCTTTGGGGCTTCTCCACACAGTAACTCTCCTGTATGTGGGAAAGACAGTGAAGGAGGACTCATCAAAGAACAATACATGTTTCACATTGTCCACAGCCCAAGATTCTCCCTGCTGGCACCATTGAAACTGGCATTTGGCATTGGCAGGAGTGAGCAAAGCTTTGGTTACAGCAGACGGCCATGTGTATTGACCCTGTGGAGCTCCAGATCAACAGTTCTGCTGGGAGCAGAAGAGTCGAGCTGCACATTTAACTCTGCAGTGATTTGGGCAGCTGTGCCTTTTTGTGTTTTGGATATATCGGTGTAATCAGCCGGACATCCCTTTCAGATAGCTTCCTCTTGTATCTACAGTTCCTCCTGTTCGATATGGTTCTACTTCTTGTGGTTTGCTGACATTACTCTGGATACCGTGGCTGGATAGACTTGCTGTCCTGGTCACAGATGCACCAGCAAGACGCAAACCAACAATCTGTCCTATTTTGAACTTTGATATGTCCTCATAATGTTGTGTGTCTTGCAATCTGTCATGCAAAACTATGCTATTACTCTGCTCATTAAGCTCAAAGCTTGTTTCAGTTTCATTGTCCAACCCCTGCATATTATTATTATTATTATTATTATTATTATTATTATATAAGAATAAATCTAAGATCAATATAAATGGGAATGTGGCTGTAGTTTTCTTCTATATCACTGGTTAAAAATATGTTGTAGAAAGTGAAAAACAAGTTACTTAATCATTAATTAGGTGACAGTGGTTGACTGCTATTATGTTTCTTTACACCGTTACTTTTTGGGGATCATTTGCGAAAGAGAGACAATTTAGTGAATACAGGTGGATGACTATTGATAAAGTGGGAATAGTAAAAATCCTACAATTTTGCTTCATTAAAAATTATTTTTTAAATCGTCATTAACGCTTCTGAAACACCAGTTTATTACAAGATATGCTAAAATATCACATTATGGTACCAAAACTAATGCATTAGGATACACAATATAGTATAATCTAATATATTTGTTTTAGTGTTATAGCCACGATCAATGAAAATGTTGCAGATTTACCCCATATATAGTTGAAATCAGAATTATTTGCCCTCCTGAATTATTAGCGCCCCTGTTTATTTTTTCCCCAATTTCTGTTTAATGAAGGGAAGATTGTTTCAGCACATTTCTAAGCATAATAGTTTTAAAAACCTATTTCTAATAACTGATCTATTCTATCTTAGCCATGATGACAGTAAATAATAGTTTACTTGATATTTTTCATGACACTTCTATACAGCTTAAAGTGACATTTAAAGGCTTAACTAGGTTAATAAGGTTAACTAGGCAGGTTAGTGTAATTAGGCAAGTTATTCTATAACAAAGGTTTGTTTTGTAGACTATCGAAAAAAAAAATAGTTTAAAGTGGCTAATAATTTTGTCCCAAAAATTGTTTTTAAAAAAATCAAAACTGCTTTTATTCTAGCCGAAATAAAACAAATAAGACTTTTTCTAGAAGAAAAAATATTATCAGACATATTGTGAAAATTTCCTTGCTCTGTTAAACATAATTTGGGAAATATTTAAAAAAGAAAAAAAGCGGGCTAATTATTCTGACCTCAACTGTATGTATATATATAATTGGTAAATCTTATTATAATCTTATACTTTTTACTTTCCATAATAAAAACATATATAGGTTAGACCACGTTTCTTACACCATCTCTTAATCATGTGAGAGTATTTGACTGTGGTTATGCTCTTTTTTACACCATTAGCTCTGTGTAATCTGAACCGCATGTTTCTGTGATGGTCTTCATGTGAAAACACATCTGCAGTCCCGCACTGCCTTAAATCCACAAAGTAATTTACCTTATCAGAGTTACGCAAAAGACAAATATGATCATCCTCATTTGTCAGAGAATAATGGTGTGAAAACCCCAGGTGCTGAATATGCAGAATAAGATAAGACGCTGTTTAAAAAGCCTGAAATCTCCACTTCTGCAACACAACGAACTGATCCACGATGATTGTGACGCTTCTTCCTATCATCCTCTTCAGAGCTGCTGTTGTCCAGGGGGTGAGTACAGCACAGAAATACATCCACTCTGTTTTAAAGCAGAAGAAAATGAAGATGTTTTGATATATTATTTTCTGTATTGTTTGGATCAGGGGTGTTCAAACTTGGTCCTGGAGGGCTGGCGTCCTTTCATTATTTTGCTCTAACCTTCTTCAATACACCTGCCTTGAAGTCTCTAGTATACCTAGCAGGGGTGTCCAGATTTTGCCCTGAAGGGCGGGTGTCCTGCATAGTTGAGCTCCAACTTTCTTCAATACACCTGCCTGGAAGTTTCATGTATACCTAGAAAGAGCTTGATTAGCTGATTCAGGTGTGTCTAAATGGGGTTAGCACTAACCTCTACAGGACACCGGCCCTTCAGGACCAAATTTGGGCACCACTGACCTAGAAAGAGCTTGATTAGCTGGTTAAAGTGTGTCTAAATGGGGTTAGCACTAACCTCTGCAGGACACCGGCCCTTCAGGACCAAATTTGGGCACCACTGACCTAGAAAGAGCTTGATTAGCTGGTTAAAGTGTGTCTAAATGGGGTTAGCACTAACCTCTGCAGGACACCGGCCCTTCAGGACCAAATTTGGGCACCACTGACCTAGAAAGAGCTTGATTAGCTGGGTAAAGTGTGTCTAAATGGGGTTAGAACTAACCTCTGCAGAACACCGGCCCTCCAGGACCAAATTTGGGCACCACTGACCTAGAAAGAGCTTGATTAGCTGGTTCAGTTGTGTCTAATTGGGGTTGGAACAATCCTCCAGGACCGAGTGTGAGCACCCTGGTTTAGATATTCAATTGATTCATGTGACAACTACAGGTAAGTGTGTTGGAGTGTGCTCTATAGGGTTGCTACCCTCCAGTATGACACCCCTGCCCTAATCCCTTCACCTTTAATCTCCAGAGAGACATCTTTGAAGACATTATGAGTAGAAAGGTTGATGTTTTCCCTTGTGTCCTGCAGGCAGTGAGCCTCTGGGCTGAAGGCAGTGCCTCCAGTGGAGAGTGCATCTGTGAAGCTTTCCTGCCCAACAGCACATTCCCAATCGGACAGCTCGTCCTGCTGGAGAGCACAGCCGTGGAGATCAAATACAAGCTGGAAATGGAGATTAGCAAGGTGTGGTACAATCTCAGAAACAATCTCAGTCATTATCGATGCTTCCATCCAAAGATATTGGACTGGGATGTTGCATAAAACATTCCACAATGGTGTTTGTTCTTCTCTAATAAATAAGTTGCGCCTCAGAAGACAAAGGTGAAATGCAATGAACGTGGTGAACGGAGGCGTGCACTTTCTGGTGTGCATGCTGGGGTCAATTCACTCAATGCGTTTCCATCTTAGTCTAATGCGTAATTTTTTTATCGAATAAACTGTTTATCCTTCTCAGTTGTGTGCAGACGTTTTCTATGTGCATTTTCAAAACGTTTGCAAAGCTTGGCATTTCCGTTAGACATAACAATTGACAGATGGACACAACATTTACTGGTTCTTCTGCAGGTTGAGGTGTACGAGGTCAAGCTGCAGGTCTACATTGCAAAGATAAAGAACCTGACGGTGCTCATCGAGCTGATGGAGGACGATCCCGACTCCTACAATGAGCTCCATCTGGAGGAGGTGAAGATCCAGATCAAGCAGGTGGAGGCTCTGATTGTGGAGCTGCAGGCGTCTATAAAGGCCTCCTCCAGTGTGCTTATAAGCATACGTACACAGGTGACACTTCTCGAACATCCTCCTTTACATACAAATGTACATGCAAATGTTGACAAAGCACACCTGCAGCTCTTGTCTACAGTAGATCCCACAACTAATTGCGCATTTATTGAACTGTAACTTATCCTACAAACAGAAAGCTTCTTATTGTTGGTATTCACTTAAATATGCGTGAACCAGACATTGCTGAGACTTTCTTTCAGTATGTTAATGTCATTCCAATTGAAATTGAATATTGAGTAGGGGGCGGGCCATCAGTAAAACATGCAGGAGTAAATGGAGGTTCATTTCAAGTCTCGACCCCTGTAAACCCTGTAAAAGTGAATGTAACTTAGCAGTGTTCAGCAGTGTTGCACCTTTCTGCCTTATTTTTACCAGTGCACCAATAAAATGAGAGATTCTTCCCTTTCCTACTATGTCTGTTAGCTTAGTGAATAATACACCTGATTGATTTCTTGTTTTGGCTTGGGAATCAGCATTGTGTCCAATCTATGTGTTTTCTGATGAAAACAGGTCATCACTATGATTTCTGTGCTGACTCAACTGGAGATCACCTACGACAAGAACTTGGTTCTCGTGACCCGCCGAGAATATTTAATTCTTCAGCAGAAACTGGAGGAGTGTGAGAGACGCCATGATGAAATCTTTAACCCCAACATTGGTAAGTAAGGGTGTACTCACACTAGACTATCCAAACCCTGCCACACAAAGTGTGTTTGACCCCCATTTCCTGGCTCGTTTGACAAGTGTGAGTGCTCTGTACCATGCCTGGGCGTGGTTCGGTTGGCCAACCCTGGACTGGTTGGAGGAGGTGTGCCAGATCGCTGTTCAGTTGGACTCAGAAACTGAAGATGCAATGTCACTTTCAAGCTTGCCACCTTCAGCAAACCTGCAGCACGAGGACTTTTATGAAAATTGATGAGCGTCAAAAGTTGTGGATTTGTTCGGCGAAATATTTGACTGTGTGCCACTGCATCCCACATGACTAAAATAGTAAGAAACGATATAACTAAAGCAGTGGGCTGCGTCCGAAACCGCCTACTACTCAGTAGGTACTGCATTTGAACGTAAACGTACCACTCGGCCGTTAGAAAGTACGTTCTATACAGTATGAATGTGAAAAATATGGATTGAATTCAGATGTACTACATCCGCCATTTTGTCATGGTCCCGTGACCTACCTAGTCATTTGCGTCGCTTCACTCCCATTCATGAATTCGCTGGGGCATCATGGGATAGCGCAGCATGCATGGCATGCGTACTCCAGAATCTCGCCGGAAGTAGTAAGTCCTCCGGGTACTTCTCGCATACTGATATTCGACTTCTATGAATTCGGACATACTACTCGGCTCGCATACTGATTTTAGCGTACTATATAGTATGGAAGTATGCGGTTTCGGACGCAGCCAATCTCTACTGTGCTGAGCGCTTCTCTTCCTGTTAAACTGAACAGTCGTATCATCGATGACGTAAGTGTGCTCCGGCTCAGAGGGTAAAATGCAATGTGAGTGCAGGCCGAGGGGGATAGGGGAAGGGGGACAATCACGCTCGGCCACGATTCAAGGCAATCATGCCTAGTGTGAGTATGCCCTAGTTGTCCATCTAGGCCAGGCATAGCCAACTTCATTCCTGGAGGGCTGATGTCCTGCAGAGTTTAGCTCCAATCCTAATCAAACACACCTGCCTGTATCTTTCTGGTGATCTTGAAGACAATGCTTAGTGTAACCCCGCCGGTCCTACACCACCCAACCCGCTCTGAGCTGGGATTGAACCGGCGACCTTCC